TATTATATTTAATAATATTATTTTATATATATAAAATAAAATATAAAATAATATAAATAAATATAATATAATATAAAATAATAAATATAATATAAAATAAAATAATATATCTTTAATATTATAATTTTTTATTTTCGTCATATGACTAAAATAAAACAAAAAAAAATGCAAATTCAAAGTAGGAGAATAATAAAAAGAAAAAGAATAATGAGGGATGATAAATTATTATTATTATTATTATTATTAAATTATTATTAAATTATTATATACTTCAATAGCTTCTTCTCGTAAATAATTTCTCATAGATTCCAATTGAACTTGTAATCGTTTTTCCTCAAGTAATTTATCAACATATTTTTCACCCTCATTAAAATCCGTGCAAACTTTACTACCAATAGCCAATGAAAATGCTTTACCAAGTCCTTCACGAGGATCCTCGTCCTTACAAAGGGCCAATAACAATGCTGTATAATTAACTGAATATCTATCTATCAAATACATCTGACAAAGTAATTCTTTGGCCAAAGCTAATCTCAAAAAAGTTTCTTTAATATCTTTCTCATCAATTATTTCTTCATCTTGATCATCATCCATTGTAACTTTGTTCTCATTTATTTTCGAATGTTTCATCAAATCAAAATAATCAATGGCTTTATCCGTGATTATAGTACTCACCAATTTATAAGGATTTACCAAATCAATTTCATCGTCAAATAAATGACCATCCAATGGTCTTTTAAAATCATCGAATAAAATACTTTTGATATTTAATGAAATATCATCATCGGAAAAAATATATTGGAAAAACCATAATGGTACAGAACGATACTGATCTATCGTCACTATTTCTTTTAAATCGTGATCCAACGATCTATAATGATCGCGTGCACGTAAAATATCGTCCTGAGTTGCCATTGGAAGATTAATGGCATAAATCAAAAATTCACGCCATTCTATGTACTCGCAATTACGTCCAAAAATATTTTCTATTAATTTATTAACATCACATGATCGTAATTGTCGCCAACACGATGGTACTGGCATCGAACCAAAACCATGATCTTCCTCATCCTTATTGTAAGATATCATATCTTGTAAAACATAAATCAATGAACGTTCAGGTATTTTTCCACTGGGTGCAATGATTTTAAATACGTTCAACAAACGACCCAATTGTCCCATAGTAAATAAAAATGGTTTTATGGTTTCTTTGATTAATTCTATTGGTTTTTCTTGTTTATCAGGATACATTAAAATGTTCGATTTAATATAAAAATCTTCACCATCTAATATTAATTCATCTTGTAACATTTTTTCTTCTTCTATGACAAAAGCAAATATTTTTGTCAACTCGTTAATGCTAGTCTTTTCTTTTTCGTATCTGTAAAATATATTTTATCGTTTTTTTTTTTTTTTTT